ACAATTATGTACAGTCGCCGTATATAAACTAAATATATATCTATATTGGGGCTTGAGTTTGTTCTTTTATGTTGTTCTTTTTTTTTTATGTTTTTTCGTTTTCTTTTTGTAGCAGCCGAACAGGTTTTCACAGAATCCAAAACCGATTTTGCATAGTTTATCTAGTTCTAGCGTATTTAGCACACTCCACTTAACGCCTAGTTTTTGTGTGTGATTTGTTTGATAAGCCTCGTCGGGTAAATAATATTATGTAAATTGTTCAACTGTCAACTTCTTGTTGTCTTAGCCGCTGTCAAGGCGATCGCCAATGGCGACTCGCGCATTGACTTCAAAAAAAAATAAATACCCAAATCGAAAATCCAAACCCGAAAAACCAATCGAACGTGTGAGAATCGATCGATTCTGTAATATATATATATATATTTTTATATATAACTATATATAAATCGAGAATAATTTAATATTGCGTGACCAAAAAGCCTTAATTACAAGACCTCCTCCAATTACGGTGCGGCAAGTGCGGTGAATGCGAGCGAAGGTCAAAAGCATTTGCACTTTCTAAGAGCCGGACGGCTAAACAGTTAAATATGCTTAGTATATACTTAGTATATTAGTATATTAGTATATTATATATATAGGCAGTTGCTACTGTGCAAATTAAAATAAATTACAATTTTATGGCACAGCTGGCTCATAAAGTAAACTAACAATTTCATTAGATAGTGCCAACAGCTGCCAACATACTAACTAGGCTGAAATATTGCGGCTAATTAGACGACGTGTCTCGTTTTTTGTTGTTTATTATTTATCTTACCTTTGCTGTTGTTGTTGTAATGCATTGAAATGTTATTTAGTGCATTCCATAAACACATAAACATCAAATTAACATCAACTGCGTTTAATGCCTTTGACACAGCATCAAGTTTGTCGCCTAAGTCTTTCTTTTTATGCGCGAAACGTGTTGAAAATTTGTAGGGTATAAGTCGGCGTAATGTTATTGTATCTATATCCATATCTATATCTATATCTATATCTATATCTATATCTATATCTATATCTATATCTATATCTATATCTATATCTATATCTATATCTATATCTATATCTATATCTATATCTATATCTATATCTATATCTATATCTATATCTATATCTATATCTATATCTATATCTATATCTATATCTATATCTATATCTATATCTATATCTATATCTATATCTATATCTATATCTATATCTATATCTATATCTATATCTATATCTATATCTATATCTATATCTATATCTTCTGGTCGAGCACTTTCGTTTAAAGTACTCCCACCTGTTGTTTCGCATTATCCATATAAACTTTGTTGACTGGGCTAAGTGACACGTGGCTTTCTAGCAGCAGTCATTACATTAATCATGTGCGCTAAAGATGTTAGCGCATGAAACTACTTTAAAAAGATTTCTATAGACATTTGTGATATGTTTGATTATAATTTATAAGCTGGCAGATGTCAGCGCCGCTGGCAGCATTTAATGTTACGGCGGCAACTGGGCAAACAATAGATGAAATAATCTAATGCTCAATCAATCGATTCAAGCCAAGTTCAACCACACCCGCATAAACCGCAATTCGCAACCGCTAAGGCCGCGTGTTCAGACAGTAAAGCAAAAAAAAAAGGTGTTTCGCACAGAGTTCAAAGCCCTGGGCCGGGGCCTAAGGGCGGCGAAGCAGCTGCGAATAAAAAAATCCAAAACAAAAAAAAAGAGAGAACGCCTGCTATTTTTAAGCGCTTTTTAATTTAATTTATTTGCATTAATTGGTTGATATACATAACTCCCCGATATCTGAATCACAAACGGAAGTCACAATAAACATGCATGCGTTGTGACTAAACCAATTCTTCTGTAAGTCTCAGCCTCGCCACATACATAATCTGTATGTAAAACGGGTAATACAAATTTAGAAAGTAAAAGCATGCCCAGTTCGTTCTCGATCAGGTGCTGTGCCATAACAACAACAACAGCAACAGCAACAACAACAGCAACAACAACAGCAACAACAACAGCTGCAATAATGCCACCCAACAAATACAAAGAAACTAAAAAAAAACTCGCCATATCATGCGCCATAATTCTCACGACTTATGCCGTAACTAACTGCACACGAATTTATAAAATTCAAACCTAATGTGCCCATTACACAAATCTAATACATTAATTAAGTCATCATTAGAATGATGCTCTAATGTCTGGAAGCATGCTTTGCAAATATGAGAAACTATACAGGCACGTATTTGACTATATAATATCTCAAGCTGAAAAGCTGTTCATATAACCAGATATGTAAACGTAAAGAGGATTATTGCATTTAGCAATTGACTTATAGCATTTCATACCATTAGGCATTCATTGGGTTTTTAATGTTCCAGATACATTTTGAAAACGAGCTGCAATAGCTTTTAAATAACATTTAATGTTATTAAATAACAGAATTTTACATTCATCTGTTCGGGAATTATTTTTATAAATAGCTTTCTATTATCCTAAATGCATATTTAAGCTTTGAAATATTTTCAAAAATTTTATTTTATTATTATTAAGTTCTGTCTGCAATAGAAAGATTGAATTATGCAGAGTTTCAAGACGATAGCTTTATAGCTGTGAGACTAGACGGAAATATGGCTATATATATACTTTGTGGGTTCGCAGAAGTTTCCTTCTGTTTCCTTATTTCATGCCAAAATTACAATATCCTCAACAGGATATCCTCTAATAAGATATCGTTTAGCAAATTCTCATAAGCTCTGCCCGTGCCTTTTCAATAAAACACTTTCATTCGACAAAATTGTTATGGGTTTGTCTTGTGTGAGGTTCAAGATTTGGTTTATTGTCCAAAAAAAAAAGAATAAATTGAGTTTCTTGGGTCGAACCAGTTCTGTGCAAAAGCCAGTCTTGCAACCTGGCTCAAAATAACCATACTGAACTCTAAAGCAGCACCAATGCCATAAATATATTTCAAATACAAGTCTCTTGAACTCAACAAAGTTCGTTGTTTTTTTTTAAATAATGTTTATTGTATTGCATCAAAATTGGAATACATTTTTATGACAACAAAGTTAGTACTAACAATTATACAGATATATACCGATATAGATATAGATATATACCTATATAGAAATGTGTATATATATATATAAATTGTCTGACCTTTTTGGTCACGCACAATAGTTCTATCAGCATTGCATATACATATACATATATGTAGATATTCATGTAGTTATATATATATTTATGAACTATTGTATAATTAAGCTTTTATAATTGTGCGATATTTGCAACGAGGCGGAAGGCTATTGTAGAATGCTGCCACAGGCCTTTTTTTTCATCACGCGGCACGTGAAAATTTGCTGCGTGACTGTCGTGCGTCCACTCCATGACACCCCCCCCTCCTACATACCCCCGCCACGCTCCTAGATACCCCCTCCCCGCCACCTACAATGCCAGCCAGCTTCAGGGTAAAATGTATCTTAAGCTAAACAATGTTTGTTAGCGTCAATTAGCATTTTTGAAATTCTCAGATCAAACGAATTGTTCGTGTTACGTAATTGCCGGCATTTTAAGTTCAAAATATGCAAAATATTTTATTTACTTTTGGTTTTTTTATTTTTGTGGGTTTTCATTTATACATTTGATTTGCAGCTCGTTTGGCTGCATTTTTTGTTGACAGATTTTTGTGCAAAACAGCTTATTTTTGTATTCATGATTTGATTGCCAACAAATTGGCGGTGAATAAACTAATTAACATGCAAAATAATTGATATTGTTTTTAAGCCGCACCTGTGCAACCTTTTAACCGGATGAAAATCGCAGCACAAACAAACCTATTTAACAGCTCCGCTCGCAGCTTGACTGGCAGCTAGATCATTAATCAATGGTACTCTTATTGCAATGCGTCAATCATGTATCTGGAAAATTAAGATATAAGTGGATTACGCCTGATTCGCAGACAAATAAGCGCTAAGCATGGCCAATTTCTTGATGATTTTGGCTTGAAAAGCGTAGCAAATGGGTGTATTCTATATTTTAATTCAATTTTTAATTAAAATCACAGACAATTAGCATCGTTTAACTGCTTTTAGCTTAGTCAAGAAGCAAAGTCACAAAAGCCAATAGATGCTAGCCTGAATGTAGGGTATACCATGGGCGTGCACTCTAGAAAGTATCTACATATTTGTAGAGAAAAAATAAGGATGTGACAAAAAGAGAGTGTGAGAAAAGGAGAATGTGAGTGTAAGAGTGTGAGAGAGAAAGAGAGTTTTATAAAAGAGTTTATTCTGACTGACAAATTTTGACCCAGGCTTTCTTTCGGCTTATATGAGACTATCAAAGGCGGCTTCTTGCAAAATTCAACCCATTTAAGTTTGGGGCAAACGTTACTAAATATCTGAGCATCGAACCAATAAGCGAGCAGTCGCTGGTTCGAACTCAGCAGCAAATTCAGTTCTTATACATATTTCTTGTTATTTGTTGTAATTTAATTACCAATAATAATTATTAATAGCTTAAAATATATTTAAATAAAAATTCAGTTTATATTGATTTGGATGTCAACTAAATTTGCGCAGGTTCGAACCAGTCGATGGATGAACAAAAGATTGACAAAGAACTGCATATTTATTCTTGATACAAATTAAGAAACCCAAACGGAAAAGTTTTGTTGTTTTTTGTCAACGAAACGAAGGCAGTAATTCATATAATAATTAAGAAAGTTTCCTAACCGCAACGGGGCCATGGAAAAGTTTGCATTCTCAGCATTACTTATTTTAACCCGACGACGACGGGTAATTTTCTTTAACATGAAACATAGGCGTGCGATTTCATACGCAAAATTGTTGGCCAATTCTTAGTGAAAAAAAAATATATATATGTATATTCTTAAAAGGAACAAATTATTAAGTAGGCACAGCCCGTAAACTTCACAGTTTTTCAGTAAGCATTTACATTGTTTGGGACCTGTATCAGTTTTATTATAACACTACCTGAATGCAAACATTAAAAAATTATTAAAAAAAAAATGTGTCAATGCGAAAGTTGTGCCTGTATGGACGATAAGTGCGGTACTACACTTAAGGAAAAACAAATTGTTGTTATCGTCTTGTCCTGGGTATACACTCTCTTTACTCTGATATATGCAGCAGTTAAAATTGATGGTAGGTATTCCAAGCATTTTTGCTTCGTCAAATACATTTCATAATAACGCGATTATTTCTTGATTACAGCGGCTGCCTCTTCGTCTAATATGCTACAAACAAGAAGCGAAAAAGACGCGTGTATTGCATACATAGTCATATTGGTATTGACGTGCTTACAAATTGTAGGCGCCATATTTCTTACAGTCGGTTTTTGCTGTGTAAGTTTGTGGCAAGTTTTAACCCGTCTAAATATCCTTGTACCATAAAGCTTGATCAGAAGAGCAACAGTCGATATTGCCATGCAAGTCGGCCTGTTGCTGTTATGTTCGATATCAATATCGAGATCGTGTCTGCCTCAGCATAAAGCTCTATCGGAATAATCGAGGGTATTTAATCTACGGCATGCCGTAGTTAGCAGTTCTTTCTAGTTAACCTTCTTTTCTGTTTATCCAGAACAAAAAACTTCTATATTTACTCGGCATTATTTTTACCTCGTTACTGCTATGGCTGCCAAGTAAGTGAAAGCGCAACAAAAATGTTCATAAATTGCCCAACATGTTTTCGTTTTAGTTCTTCAAATCTTTCTTATCATATGGGCGTGTCGATATTATAGCGTAAAAATGTAGGGTTCGATAGGAAACTATTTGAAGCAAATAATATGTCAACTCCAGTGTTTATGCGTGTATATGTCAAGTTCAATGTTTCAAATAAGCTGCTGCAAAATTATCTGTTGAAAATAAAAATTGGGAAAACAAATCAGATTGTTTTGTTTTATACTTTGTCGGTTCAAACCAATACCTCGGGTTTCGGATTCGCGCCTTTGCTCAAAATTCTTTCATTCTTTAAAAAAAATTTGTTTTTAAGTGCCCGATGGTAGATACCCTGTATATTTCATGTATGGCCTGCGCTTCATTTCTCAGTTTCATAATATGCATTCCCTAATAACTTCGAAATTAATTCTCCGATTTTTGTAGAAAATTATGAGGCTTTAAACTGGCAACACAATATGTGCAAAAAACGAACTGCAAGGCTTAACAGGCTTTTATTATTATTAATATATTCAGGTATTCGAAAAGTTGAATATTCTGGATACCTACCTACTCTGGAGTCTCTAGCTCTGACGAGCTGCGACTCATAATCGAGAAAGTGGGGGGAGAGTTATCGACAATTGGAAATATGTTTTTGATTTGATTTTATTTAAGGTCTTACATTGATAATTTGATAACAGATTGTAAATTATGGTTACAGATAACACAGGCAACTTTGAGTAATTTAGTACGAATGCTATTTTTTAAGCTCTAAGGTATAATACCGACAGGCGAATATAATGAAAAAGATTTGGAAAACTGTAAAAACATAAGTAAAGAGAAATTCGTGTTGTTTTTTTTTTTTCTTGCTGTTCTTTAATTCGTACCAACCTGCTAAATAACCCAGTAGAGAGAAGGGTGATATTGAACTTATAACTATGCCAGCTAGATACGTGGGGGCTAAGTTCTAGATAAGCAGAAGGAAATAATATTAAGTATACTAGAAGTAGTAGCATCACCTACAAAAAAAAAGCCTATTCCAAGAAGGATTCCACCCAGTAAATGTACAGCGGATATTGCAAAATATGCGTAGATAACCAAATGCGTCTCTTTGAGGAACCCTAAAGGAAAATGCGATTATTTGCCGGTAAATTTTCAAATTGTTGCGCTCTTCATGAAATATCTTACCGCAGGCAATCATATGTGATAGTAGAAAAGACAATAGGGAATGTGTTAACGTCCAGATGATAAAAACAATTTGTTTTGATTTCAAAGTTGAACAACAGCACGTATCCAAATATTCGCACGCATTGCATTGGCACATTTTAAACGGAAAAATTTTGATCTCTGTTTGGAATCCGGTTATTGTCGATTTAGTTAGGGTCGGCTATTTTTTCTATAATGCGTAAATGCTAAGCATTTGCGTGCTTATTGAAAATTGGTGAAGTCTCAAACGTTCGCCTACTTTACAAAATATTGTTCATCTCTTGTAGGATATTAATATTTACGAAAACCCCAATTCGCCAAGCCTTTTCATAGTTAACCCGGCTCCAATATGCCATATTCTTTTCGAGAACTGGCTTTTCTTGCAAAATGCTCAGTGGGAATATTACTGGTAACTCTTGAAAATTTTAGAACAAAGCCGCGAACCCTAGCCCGACGTATTGGTTTGAACCGCTTTGCGCAATGCAAACTTCTACCTGAGATTCTGCTACCTGTATAAAACAAAATAATCTTCTACCTGTATAAAAAAAATCAGAATTTTTGTTTCTGTTTAATGAGATGAAAAGGTTAACAAGAAAGAACTGCTAACTACGGCATGCCGTAGATTAAATACCCTCGTTTATTCCGATAGAGCTTTATGCTGAGGCAGACACGATCTCGATATTGATATCGAACATAACAGCAACAGGCCGACTTGCATGGCAATATCGACTGTTGCTCTTCTGATCAAGCTTTATGGTACAAGGATATTTAGACGGGTTAAAACTTGCCACAAACTTACACAGCAAAAACCGACTGTAAGAAATATGGCGCCTACAATTTGTAAGCACGTCAATGTCAATATGACTATGTATGCAATACACGCGTCTTTTTCGCTTCTTGTTTGTAGCATATTAGACGAAGAGGCAGCCGCTGTAATCAAGAAATAATCGCGTTATTATGAAATGTATTTGACGAAGCAAAAATGCTTGGAATACCTACCATCAATTTTAACTGCTGCATATATCAGAGTAAAGAGAGTGTATACCCAGGACAAGACGATAACAACAATTTGTTTTTCTTTAAGGGTAGTATCGTCCAGACAGGCACTACTTTCGCATTGATTAATTTCTTAAATGTTTGCAGTAAGGAAGGTTATAATAAAACTGATACAGGTCCCAAACAATGTAAATGCTTACTGAAAAACTGTGAAGTTTACGGGCTGCGCCTACTTAATAAATAAACGCGAAAGTAACGAGATGTACGACATTTGTCCCAGGGTTGTACAGATATGTGGAAGGAATTAATTGGGTGAGATGTCTCCTGCTATGCGTTCCACATTCTCGACAATATATTTTAGTACAATTAAAGAGTGATCTTTAATTTTTCCTAGTTTTAGTAGTCGGAAATTGACTGCCATAAGGGTATATCCCATAAAAGCACATTTCAAAGCTTAGCATTCCGTTTCTTCCATTAGTTTTCCGTGTAATCCAAGTAATTTTCAGTTTTAATTAATCTAACATTTTAGATTTAATGGACTTAAACTCTCGTAACCCCTCTTACTATAATTTTTAGTGTGGAATGCTAAAGCACTTTCCATAGATTCCAGTCCACATACTTGAAGAGTTAATCGACTCAAGCAAGTTCGTTGCCAAAGTCTTTTGTATCGAGCATCAGCAAAGCGACAGCAGCAGCGACTATTCTCACTTGATTAGTATGCATACTATATATATATATATATATAGTTACTACGTGTAACTGCAATGTTAATGAAAACTGTTTAAAAACGTTCGACTAAATGGCAAATGGCCATGCTGTAAGGCGTGTGGCGACCACAAGATAGATCTGGCAGCTGTAATTGTAAGACATGGTCGACTGGAGAAGAGTAGGGGGGGCGGGTCGGGGGAGCGTGTAGGGTGCAAAGGTAGGATAGCCATCCGATCAAGGTGGAAACATGCACTGCAATTGTATGCAAATGAACGCGTGCGCTGAAAATTGTATAATAATTGGAGAGGCTCGGGTTTGTGCTCGTAAATGAACAGAAACAATTTTTGTACAATATGCAATATAATTCTTTATTGTTATTTAATTTGTTTTCATATAGCTACATATATGTATGCATATATACTATATATGTATGTATATATATTTTTGTATATATATTTATGTATTTACTGTGCATGCGGCACGCTGTAGCTTCTAATATATGTAGCATGTATGTCTACTGTACATACATACATATATATATATATATATATATATATATATATATATTTATTATTGTTATTAATATAATTAAATTTAGCTTGTTTTTGTTTTTTAAATATGTTATTTGTTGCTGCTCTTTATGCTCTAGGTACCCATTTTGTTTTCTCTTTCTCTCTTTTTATGTTTATCAACTATTTATTTATCATAATGTTTATAAAATTTAAAAATTTACCTTTGCAAAACATAAGCGTTAACAACTTAATTAATTATTAGATTTATTGTATTTGTGTGTGTTTTTTTTTAAGGGCTCTTCTCTTTAAATTGTATTTTACATATTCTTTTTTTTACTTTGATGCGTTTCTGCTTGTTTTTTTTTTTGTTTTTGTTTTTGTTTCGTTTTATTTTAATAGCGACTAAGACACTTTTTTCATTTACCTTTCATAAATTTTTGCATTTGCATTGAAATTACATAGAATTTAGTTTTTGTTTTTGTTTTTACAGCATTTAAAGCTACAATTTGAGATGTTTATGTGAAAAACGTAACAGTTTTAACTTTTTTTTAGTTGGTTGTTTCTTTTTTTTTTTATGTATGTACAGCGAAAATGGGTTGAGGAAAACGGAAAGGAAATTTGAATCATGGCGGAATGTTGCACATGCAATGAGTATGCTTTATATATATATATATATACTGATATATATATATACATAATGTGTATGTGTGTGTGTTGTGTGTACATTTATTTTTGGATTTAAGTTTAGACCGTACTGTTTACTTAGCATATTTAACAAAAAGTTTATACAACTTGCGCTTGGCTTATTACAAACTAAAGAAAATGTTTGCCGCTTTTCGCTTTTCTTGGATTATATTAATAAATATATCAACAAATTACCCGCTGCACGTTCATATAAAAACTAATAATATAGTAAATAGTCGTTATATAGTAATAATATAATATAATCTAATATAATAATAATAATAATAGCTAATTTACAATTAATACGCTTAGTTAAATTCTGCAAACTAAAGGCTTACAATAGTCGGAAGCAATTGAAACAATTCTTAGAATCATTCGTGTTCATCGATTTCCCATTTTGTTTCCGCTTTGATTTCTTCTTTTAACTACCATTAACTTTTATATAAACAATTACATATATAGATTTGTCATTAACAGAAAAACTTGAAACTAAGATTATTCAAAAAAAAAAACGACGCATCTAAAGTGTTAGTTGCGAACGTTGTGCTAAACCTGGGCGACGTTTGAAAGTTTAGAACATTGCACAAAATGGTGTGAAAAAAGGCAGGAAATGGGGTTAAAATTGGGCATGGTTGAGTGGGGAGAGTTAGGGTGACACATACACACACTCAGGCACACGCACATACACACACACACACAATCAAAACAATCATCGCGATTCTATTAGACTAGAATTCGAGTCGGCATACATAACCACATATATATATATATATTATCAGGACAAATTATAAAACGCTCCCAGTTCGGTTTTAGCACACGTTGAAAACTCTTTTTGAAACCAATCGCACTTAATGCTGTGCATTTGCCAAAGTTGCAGGCGCTGTCGCTGCAGCAGCAGCTGCTGCTGTTGCAGCCACGCCCCCTGCTGTAACTGCCGCCGCCCCCGCTGCCGTCGCCGCCGCCGTCGCCGCCGTAGACGACGCATTCAGGTCGTCGCCCTGCAGGTCCACATTGGCGGCACTGGCGTACTGCTAAAACCATGATTGCCTATTAATATCATACGGCTTGGTCATGCCCAGAGCCGAGGGTCGATAGGCGGCCGGCGGCGGCGGCGGCTGGCCATAGCCGGCCGCGGCAGCAGCGGCAGCCGGGCCGCCCAACAGGCTCTGATTGAAGATCATGCGCGCATGGAAGTCATCGCGACGCAAATATTGCTGGTACAGCTGCGAATTGGGGTCCAGTTGGGTGGCAGCAAAGGGATATGCCGCCGCGGCAGCTGCGGCCCGTGTCGATGGATGCGCTGCAGCCAGAAACGGATAGGAGCCAGCGGCCGTATTCAATGGATTCTGTGTCTTGTCCGACGCATTGCCAGCGGCATTTACCGCTGCGGCACCACTATGCGCCGGCGCCGGCGGCATATAGTAGGGATTGGGCGCATCACGGAACTGATCCAAATAGCTGCTGGCCGCCGCAGCCGCCGTCTGATCGCCATACAAACCCAGCGCACTGGGCGTGGGCGCAAAGTTGAAGGCGCTGCCCGGCACCATGCCGCCCGTGGAGGTCTTTAGCGAGATGGCAGCCGCATCCGCTGCCGTCTGATTGCTGCCCGGCGCGCTGCCAGCCGAGGCAGCTGCTGCTGCCGCAGCGGCGGCTGCTGCTGCTGCTGTGCCCGCCGCTGGCGATGCCACGCCGCCGGACTTGAGACCCGCATACAGCTGGAAACCCTGATGCAGCACCTGAGTGTGTGCTGCGGCAGCTGTGGGCATCTGTGGCATGTTGTACTGCGGCATTGCCTGCTGCTGGCTATGTTGCTGCTGCTGCTGTTGTTGCTGTTGTTGTTGCTGCTGCTGCTGTTGTGCTGCTACCTGTTGTTGCTGCTGCTTGGCATTTGCCTCGGCAGCAACTGTGGTCGCCTTCTTCTTGCGTCCACGCTTGGCAGGCGCCTTGACCTCAGCAGCTGGCGCTGCGCTCACTGCAGCCTGTTGGTGTTGTTGTTGCTGTTGTTGTTGTTGCTGTTGTTGCTGCTGCTGTTGCTGCTGTTGCTGCTGCTGTTGTTGCTGTTGCTGCTGTGGCGATGGCTGCGCGCCATTGTTGCTGCCGGGCACATAGTTGCCGGGCAGTTGCTGGGCGGGATTACCGTACGCTGTGGCCGCACTGGACGCACTGTACATATGCGCCGCCGGCGGCATATTCTTGTCAAAGTAGTTAACCGGATAGGCCAGCATGGACTCGGTCAATGTGTGCATCAACGGATTGTTGTAGGTTTGCGGCGGCGGCGGTGTAGGTTTATTGTAGGCAGCCAAATGATGCGTCTGGCTGAGATGATGCTGATGCGCCGGCAGGTGCAACATGTTGCTGTTGTCGCTGTTGGCCGCCACAGCAGCCTGTGTTGCCGCGGGCTTGCCGGATGTCGGCTGTTGCACGGCAGCAACAGCAGCTGCTGCTGGTGCATAGTTGTGGTTGAGCTGCTGCGCCTGTTGCTGGTAGGCATTGTGTGGCTGTTGCTGCTGTGCATGTTGCTGCTGTTGCTGTTGCTGCTGCTGCTGCTCTTGTTGTTGTTGCTGCTGTGCGGGCTGTGGCTGCTGCTGTTGCAGGTTGTTGCTGTTGTTGCCATAGTTAAGCGGCTTGTGCGGCGCCTGCTGCTGCTGCTGCTGTTGTTGTTGCTGCTGTTGTTGCAGCGTCAACTTTTGCTGCTGCTGCTGATAATTCAGATTATGCGGCGGCTGCAGCTGTGTCAAATGCGGCTGCGGTTGTTGCTGCTGCTGCTGACTGCTCTGCTGCTTGTTGGCCGCTGCCTGTTGCTGTTGCTGCTGCTGCATGTTGCAGGCGCTGTTGTCCTTGGCAAAGTCCTTGGGAAAACCCATAGCCGCCGCGCGATTATACATTTCGAATGCCTTATCTGGCGCTATGGTGCCCAGCTGCTTGTTAAAGGCCATGGAGCCCAGAAAACTATTGAACATTTGCTGTTGCTTATTGAGCAGCGATTGCGGTGACTGTTGCTGTTGCTGTTGTGTTGCTGTGTGCAATTGCTGCTGCTGCTGCTGCTGCTGCATATGATTCTCGTCCAGCTTGGTCAATTTGCTAGCAGCAACATCGCTGTAATCCTCGTTGGCGCGCTTCAACGGATTAATTAACGTATCCGTTTTGGCGGGCTGCTGCATTTGATGCTGCATAAAAGTGGCCATATCGCTGCCATAGCTGGGCGGCACAATTTTCTGCTGCTGTTGCTGCTGCTGCTGACTGTCAACAGCATCTGCGGCTGCTGCTGCATTGGCCGCCGCATTTGTCGACTGATATTGTGCATAGGTTGGATACTTGGGCTTCATGCCATGCAGCTGCTGCTGCTGATGAGCCAGCGTCTGATGTTGCTGCTGCTGCTGTTGTTGTTGCTGCTGTTGATTCTGATGTTGCTGCTGTTGTGTGACCTGATTCGTGGCTAGGTTAGGCGGCAGCAGGCTGTGTCCCAGACTCCAATCATTGTTGTTAGCCTTAGGCGTCGCTGTGGATACCGCCACGGGAGCAGCAGGTGGCAGCGGATTGATCAGCGTTGCCGGATTGTACAAAGAATGTTGCTGCTGCTGTTGCTGCTGTTGTTGCTGCTGGTAGTTGTCATGCGTTGGCGCATAGCCATTGTTGCCCATTGTTGCTGGAAGAAGAAGTTGGATTAGACATGTTTCTATGTTTCTTTCGACAATTCACCTTTATGTGCGGAAAACGCGTGGAACTTTTAAAAATGTATTGCCGATACTTTGCTTTAGACTGTAAGTCGGAGTAGCGACTATTTGCTGAGGGCGAAACTCACCTGTTAAAGGCACCACAGGTGCTGCAGCTGGTTGGCTCGTTGCCACTGCAGCAGGCACCACAGGCGACGGCGGCACGACTTGCACGACTTGCTGCTGATAGGGCGACAGCACGGGCTGTTGGTACGGCGAATGCTGCTGCTCGGCCGGCGACTGTGCCAGCGGGGTGGGCGGCTGTGTGGCCGCCGAGGAGGCAGGCGAATCCACGCTGCTGGGCATCGGGCTGAGCGCCTGTTGCTGCTGTTGCTGAGGATTGGGGCTGTGCGAGGGCTGTTGCTGCTGCGACTGCGGCTGCGAATGCGCGGTCTGATGGTAGGGCGACTGGGCGTGATAGGGAGAAGGCTGCGTCGAGTGGGGCGTGGTGTAGGGCGAACTCTGCGGCTGTTGATAGGGTGAATGCGGATTGGGCGTGCTGGGGCTCATCGAAGAGTTGTAGTCGGATTCTTGGGAGCGCGGCTGTTTGTACTGATCGTAGATGGGCAGTGGCGAGGTGGAGGAATAGGCTGGCGTCTTGGACGCCTCCGAACCAGACGGATTATAGCTATTGCCGCCACCATAAGGCGAGGTGCCACTCAGCTCGGGCGTGGACACATTTGGCGACGATGCCGACGAGTAAATGTGCTGAGAATATTGCGGATACGGTGAGTTCATCTCGCGCGGACTGCAGCTCTTGTCCGGGCTGCTCTTGGTCGTCGTGTCCTGATAGAAGCCCACCTTGATGGCGCCATTCAACGTATACGGTGACGCCGGCTTGCCCATGTCATCGTTCGGCTTGGGCGACACCATAATGGGCGAGGCGCCGATGGGCGAGGCGCAGATGGGCGATGTATACGAGCCAGCCGCATAGGAACCGTAACGCTCATCGATGGCTATGCGCGGCGAGTCCGGATCCTGACTGAATGAGCTGCGCTCCGAGTTCGTGCTGCCCGTGCTCGGCTTGCGCTGCCGCATGACCACGGGCAGCGAAAAGTTTGTGTCGCCGGCGGCGGGCGAGTGTGCGGGCGGCGCCACCCGGGCGTCGTCCTGTGCCAGAAGCTGTGACTGTGTTGTCGTTGGCTGTTTCTCCTCCTCGCTGGTGGATTTCTTGTTGACCTTGGGGCCGCCGAAAGCTTTGAGCCATGCACTCAGATTCGGCTTCTCTTTGCCCTCGGCTGAGGCGGCCGCCTTTGAGGCCAATTCGCTGGCTTTGCTCAGCTCGAGCAGCGCCTCGAATGGCTTGGGCATAGGCTCCTTGGTAGGCGTTGTGGCCGCTGCTGACTCCTCTGCGCTGCTGTGCTCTTTGGACTCCGGATCGTGCTCCTGCTGCTTGTTCGCCAGCTCCTCCAGGGTCTTGCCCAGCGCAAAGTCCTGCGTTTTGATGACCGTGCCCAGGCTGAGCTTTGGCGCCGTGTCGCTGCACTCGGTGATGAGCGCGTTTTTGGTTTCTGACTTGGACTTGCTGACCACCGGACAGAGCAGGGTTTCCAGCTCATCCATCTTGGACCCAACCACATTCTGTATCAAATTGCCCTTGGTCTTGCCCGGCTGCAGACGCTCGATGGTGCGCATCACGTTCGCCTTGGCCTTGGCCTGCTGCGCCTGTGCATTGGCCGCCAGCTTCTCCTTGAGCGACTTGCGCTTCGCCTCCTTGGCCATCTGTTGCTTGATGTGCGGCGGTGGCGGCGGATTCAGCAACAGCTGTGTGCTGCTCGGCTCCTTCGGCTTGACGGGCGGCGCGGTTGTCGCCACAATTGTTGCTGCTGCTGCTGTGGGCGGGGCCGCGACGACGGGCGGCGCTGTTGCTGCTGGCTGCTGCTGTGCGGATAACGTGGAGTTATTGGAGCAGGCGGAGCTCGAGCTGGCCGCCGTTGCCGAGGTGCTGCCTATGGAGTTGCCCGAGTGCATCGAATGCGGCGGCGTGCCGCAGCTGCTGCTCACGCTGCTGGCCGTGGGCAAAGTTTCCGCGTCTAGTTTGTTGCCGCCCGGCTTGGTCGCCGACGTTTCGCTGACCAGCTCGTTGAGCGCCTCCGCCAGCTTGGTGGGCACCAGTTCCGCCTTGGGCGCAGCCAGGGCGACGGGTCTCCTAAAGTCGGCCGCGTCCAGTTTGCTGCCAATGGCCGAGTCGAAGTCATCCAGCAGATTGTAGCGCGAGGGCGAATTGCTGGCGGAGCTGAACTCGGAGAACCGCGGCGTGTGCTCCAGCCAACGATTGATGTCCTTCAGCGTTTGCTCCGTTTCCACGTCGAGCGCCTCCAGATTCGTATTGCTGCTGGGCGCCGCTTTCTGTGCCGCGGCCGCGGCCGCCGCCGCCTTTTTGCCGGTTAGCTTCTTGTGACCGCCGCCCTTTTCCACGGATGACTTCTCGGCGGGCTTTGGCGGCGGCGGCATTTGCTTATCGGCTCGCTGCTTCTTGCTGCTTGCCTTGACGTTGCTCTCCTTCGGCTTGGCATTGCTGCTGGCGCCGGCACCTCCGCTGCCCTTGGCCGCATCCTTGCCGCAGGCCAGCTCTGTCCGAGCAACTGGCGCCGGCGGCGTTGAGGTCTTTGCAGGCGCCGGTGGCGGCGGCGTCAACTCCCGCGATGGCTTCTCAACGTTTTTTGGCGTTTCTGCTTTTTTGGCCTTCTCCACGGGCTTCTCCTCCGCCTTCTCGCTCTTCTCCTGCTTGGTAGACGCTTTGTCGTTTAGATTCGATTCCTTTTGATGCTTTTGCTCTTTGCTTTTACGACCACGTTTATGTTCCGCCGCTGGCTCTGTGGTATTTTCGCGCTTCTTTTTGTTTGTGGACACACTCTTGACACTGGTTGACTTGGAGTCCTCGGAGGGTGCCAGCGAATTGGTTGCACTGGTGGAGCCGCTTTGCGCGGCGCGACTGCGTCGATATTTGATGACGTCATATTTGTCCATAAATGGCAGCAGCATCTCCAGTTCCGCCTGCTCGGCAGCAGCGGCTGCAGCAGCCGCCGATTCCGCTGAGCTCTTCTTGTGCTTGGCACTGCGCGACTTTTCCTTATCCCTATCTTTGTCCTTCTCCCTCTCTTTGTCTTTGTCTTGTCGGCTTTTCTTCTCCCGCTCCCGGTCCTTTTCCTTTTTCACTGGCGGCGTCTCGATTTTCTTGCCCCGCTTGACGGCCACCGGCGAGGGCGGGCGACGCCGCCGCTCATCGGAGCTGCTGTGCAACATATAGTCCGACTCGGAGTCCTGGTCGGACTTGTCGCCTTCGTGGCGTGCGCTCAGCTTGGAGGTCTCGGCGCTGGTCACCTTCTTGACGGTTGTCAGCAGCTCGGAGAGATCATCGTTGAGTGCGCTCTTTGAGTATTTTTTGTGCAGATCCACCTTGAAGGGTGACATGCTGCGCGATCTGGACTCATCATCATCATCGTCGTCCGCATCGTCATTGTCCTCGTCATCTTCCTCCAGCTCTGCAGCGGATTCAGCAAGCGCCGCAGCAGCTGTTGGCGGCAGCTGTTTCTTTGCATTGATGTCATACAATAGACTGTCGTCATCGTCGTCCAGGTCGGCCAGCTCCCGATCGGCTTTGGCGCGACCGCGTCCAACTCTTTTGCTCTTTGGCTGACGCTTGACGGGCGTTGGGGTCTTCACCTTGGACTCGGCGGGCACCATTTTCTTCTTTTGTGCCGCAATTGTGCGCGCCGTCGGCTTCACCAGAGACTTGACTTTGGCCAAAGCCAGTTCCTCATCGTCGCTAGACTCGGGCTCACTCGGCGGCGGCGGCTCGCTTAGCTCCGACTCTGGTTCCGTTTCGGGCGTTGACTTTTTGCCCGCTTTTTTGGTCTTTTGTGTTTTGGTGTTGGGCTTCGAGGAGCTGGTTGTCTGGTTCTGCGAGGACTTGCTGCCTTTGGCCTTGCGTCCACGTTTGCCTGAGGATCCACCAGTTAGCTCTTTGTCCTTGTCCCTGTCCTTGTCTTTTTCCTTAAGTACTTTGCTGCTTTTGCTCTTTTTCATTGCTAGCGGCGGCGGCGGTGGTGGCGGTGGCTCTGGCTCCAGGTCCTCCTCATCGGTGTCCATGTCATCGTTGTGACTGCTTCTTTCCGCTTTGCTTTTGGTTTTCTTCTTACGCCGTTTATCCTTCTCCTTGCGCTTGCGCTTTTGCGCGTGTGTTGTCGCCTCCGCAGGCTCCTCTGTGTCGCTGTGGTGCCCCTCCTCGACGCTGCTGTCCTGCAGACGCTTGCTGGACGCAGAGTTCGCCGAGGATTCCTTCTCGTCGTCACCTTTCGCCTTCTTGCTAAAGTACTTCTCGCGAAAGACATTCATCTTGGAATCAGCGGCGGGATAACTTAAATTCGGATCATCATCGTCGTCCTCGGAGAGATTATCGAAATATTTTTTGGTTGCCTTATCGAAGGCTTCCTGCAGATTGTTGACCATTTCCGTGTACTCTGTTGGTGGGTTGAAAATGTTATTAATGGCATATATTTATATAGATATTATGCAGAGAGATTATCAATACCGTTGTTGTGGCCATTGTACAGTCGACAATTGTTGACAATCAAGCGAAAATCATTGCGAAATTCGCTAAACTTGTGATACTCTCCACTGTCCAGTTTGTCCTCCATCTTGAGCAGGTCCATGGGCCTAGGGAATAACAGAAATATTTGATAAATAATTGAGTTCTTGATGTACTTATATATCACGCTTAAAAACAGGGTTTGAACCTAATGAACTAAAGCTTACACCCAACTAGCCAAATGGTTGGGTTTAAAAACCTTTTGGCCATAAATTAATTCTGTTCAATGTGAATGAAACAATATTTGTCCGAAACGCTCTAGAGCTAAAAATGTGCTGCCTATTCGGATGTGAGTAAGAGTTTCCCTTAAGGTGCAACAATCGGAAAAGATGTGATGCACCAAGGTTCAAAAGAAACCCTTATTTCATGGCTGGGTTTATGGATCCAACACATAGATTATTTATTATTTCCGAGTAATGATGTATATTAAACTTCATGAAATTTGATTTAATGAATAATGTTGAAAATTCAATTAGAATTAATTCTTAACAGCTAAAAATTTAAAGTTGAACTGGCGACCTCTCATTAGCTAGTCGGACAAGCACTTCGAAGCTCTAATGTCACCTTTCAGAGAATCCGTCAGGACAAATCAATGCGTATATATTACATCTATATGGCTATAGTTTACCTTCTAATGATTGAGTAATAGCGCGGCGCAATATCCTCCTCAACGGGATCCATGAAGGGCCATGCATCCCGATGATTTTTGACATAGACAAGCACCTTGTGCATTCCGATTTGTAGTACCTCCTCCGTTTCGGTAAAGCTAAGAATATTCGCATGATTTGAGGAGTTGTACGTTGCATTGTTGTTTGCTTTCGCTGTTGTTGAAGTTGTTGTGATTGTTGTTGGGTTTGTTGTTGTTGTTAGATGGTGTGTTATGGGTCTGGTTAGGTTTGTTGTTGTTGTTGTTGTCGAGGAGTGAGATTTATGTTTATTACTGTTAATATGACTATGAAGGTGGGTGTTGTTGTGCGTATGATGGGTGTTGTGTGAAGGTGTGTGGGCTACTCCGTGCGACGTTGTTGTTGTTGTTGCGGTTGTTGTTGCTTCCGGCGTTGAGTGGTTGTGATTGTTGTTGTTGTTGTGATTGTGGTGCGACGCGTGCTTATGGTGGTGGTGGTGGTGGTGGTGGTTGTTGTTGTTGTTGTTAAAGCTGCTGTTGCTACGGTTGTTACTATTTACATGGCTACATTTTGTTGGTATGTTTTTTTTTTACGGTTATGATGAACAGTCAATATGTTGTTGGTTGGTTGTTTGGTTGGTTGGTTGTTCGTTTTGGTAGGTACAAAAGTTTACAATAACAATGGGTAATAAAATGTTAATCAATTGATATATTATATACAATTTGATGAAATATGATGTGTCGGTTAGTGAAGAAGAGTGCAAAGGTAGAAGGGGAGTAGGTTCTAGACAGTAGACATGCAGACAATAACGAAATACAAACTACTTTTACGAGATAAATTAAGAGCACTTTGTTAAACTCTATAAAAATACTTCGGTTTTCCGAAGCTTAAGTACCCTTGCATATTTTTTAATATATTTCCTCAGTTTTTCTTTCAATAAAGTTCTCGTTCTGGTTCTTTTCTACTTTTTAGCTTTTCGATTCTTTGGGAATGCTATGTGGATTTATTATATGGCTGGTAAGTTTTTGTTAAAATATTTTATTCACAAGTTGTTTATGCAAACTAAGTTCTGAGCCATTTTGAGCACCGAATTTTTATTTTTTATATGGCTTGCGAACTTTAAACATGATTTTTGCCCTAAAAATCAGTCGAACTTAAATCTGTTGAGCAAAATATGCCTTAGCTAAAAACAGTTTTTTATTTGAATATTTAACAATATAATATTCCAAAATTCGTTAGTTGGAGACATTGCTAAGAATATTTCAATAAGTAAAAATATGTAGATAATAATACTTAATATTTAATTTACAAAATATTCAATTGTTTTATGAAAAATTGTATATAATAAACCATAAACTCCACTTTTTATTTAACCCAATTTAACCGAGTAAAACTTTCCTATGTCAACTACAACAAATGATCATATATACCAAATTTTCCCAGTCTAGCTTCACAGAGTGTTGAGTTCTTATAGAACAGACAGGTGATACGGATAGACGAATGCTCTATAAAGTTAAAATTAGTTTCCGCTGCACTACTTGCCACATATATTCAGTTGACTATACAAAATGTATGTTGGATTAAAGATAGTTTTTTACAGCGTGTTTACAAATATGAAATTGAGTTTCGGGAAATCTGAAGATACTTGCGTTAGTATTTAATATAAAGAGTGTGTGCAGTGCTATGTTTTGTCTAGTCTAATTGGTTAGTTAGTTAGTGGGACTTACTCATCGGCACTTTTGTCGGAGTAGGCGCTGCTGTAGCGTTCCGCCTTGCTGGACGAGGAGGCACTGGAGGCAGCCGAGGAGGGCGCTGCAGCCGCCGTTGATTTTTTGCTTTTCGCCGGCGCCTCCGATTTGCTGGCACTGCGTTCCGCTTTACTGCCGGAGCTGCCGGCGCTCACACTGGCCTTTTGTTTCTTGGACCGTGCCGTCGTCTCGGCTGCGGAGTTGCTGTTGCTGTTGCTATGTTGCTGCTGCTGCTGTTGCTGGTGGGCGGACGCGTTGCCGCCAGTTGGTATGAAAATGTTGCCCGTTAGGGAGCTGAGTGAATTGTTGGTTTGCCGGCCGGGCAGCTTCACATTGGCCGCTGGCGCCATCTGCTCCTCGCGCTTGGCAGCCACTGGCTGTGCTGTGTTTGGCTCTGCTGGCTGCAGTTGCTCCTCGCTGTCATGCGCCACAGGCGAGGGCAGGCTCAGGTTCGCAATGCTTGTGGCGACCGCAATGGCCGCCGAATTTGAATCCAGCAATTGCAGTTGTCGGCAAAAGTTCTCCTTATCCTCGGGACTCAGCGACGCGGCGTGCAGCAGCTGCGGCTCGGTCGTCTCTGGGCTCGGCTCCAGCTGTTGTTGTTGTTGCTGCTGCTGCTGTGGCTGCTGCTGCTGGCGACTGTGGCGTCGCTTGTGGCTGCGAGCGGCTGTTGTGCTGCTGCTGCTGTTGTTGCTTTGCTCGTTGTTGTTGCTGTTGTTATTGTTGTTGGTGTCCTCGCAGTGCTCGTCTGTCTCAGACGCATGCTTATGACGCCGCCGATGGTGATGATAATGATGTTGATCTCGTTCCCGTTCCCGTTCGCGACGCTCGCGTGAGCGTTTCTTTTGCTTCTTGCCAGACTTTTTCTTCTTGTGGTGATGATGATGATGATGATGATGGTGGTGGCTCTTGCTCTTGAATTTCGCTGGCGTTTGTGATTTTTCTCTGGGCGGCGGTGGCGGTGAACGGAATTTATCGCCAGCTGCTGTCACAGCGTTCAAATGCTGCTCTTGCTGCTGCTGCTCGTGTTCCTCTTCTTCTTGTTGCTGTTGTTGTTGCTCTTGCTGTTGTTGTTGCGCTAATTGTTGCTGTTGATGCTGTTGATGTTGTTGCTGTTGTTGCTGTTGCTCTTGATTCGGCTCCTCGTCGTCGTTTTGATCATCCTCTTCTGGCGATAGACAAAAAGTTTCCCTGTGGCACAGAAATTCGCTCGAATTAGTTGTTGTTGTACGTCTGAGGGAGCTTGCGTAAGTTGAAATACCGCTAGCCGTTGAAGTCGATTGAGAACTGCATAGAGAGGTAGTAAAAGAAAGAGATAAAGAGAAAAGAGCAAAAACAGAAAATGGTTAAGTATGGCTGACAAAACACAGGCAATGTTACGACAAGCTTAATTAATGTCCCACGTACAGTAGAAATCGCTTAAGACTAACGCGCAAATGAAATGTTTAAATGGCATGTGAAGTCTAAAGAAAATGTTGTTGTAGTTATTTTTTTGTAGAGAATATAATATACGAATTTCATGGGTTTTTTTTTAATTATCAATTCAAATAACAAATAAAAACATAATCTATTTTGGTTAATAATAATAGTAAATCCTTTGAAAGGCTTTTCAAAATGTTCTTTAATTAAACTAATAAAAAAGAATATCGAATAAAAATGTTAAATTCAAGTAATAAATTTCTAGTCTTCGAGCAATTGTTGTATTTTATATGAATTCTAAACGATTTTTACTGTCTTATTATATTGAAAGTCTGCGTTAAATGGTTTACGTATATGATTTCTAGCCCGTTGTTTGATGAAAACTGAATGAATGAGGTGCCACAAGAAATGTTCAATTACAATAATAGTATACACAAAAAAAAAGAAGGTATAATAAATTGGCAATATATCAAATATAGGAGTATATAAAAAGCATGCTTACATAATTGTTCATATTGTGTGTTATAGTTTTTATTATTTTTTTGAAAACGAAATCCAACCAATTGTTTGTCGCACACAAAATTAAATTATGGGCAAAACTCAAATTAAGTGCTGTTTCGTCTCCTTCAATATTTGGTCCAGTTTCTCTCAGTCTCTCGCTGGCGGCAGCCTGTGTTAAGCGTCGATGAGAATGTGATATTTTTTTTTTTTGCTTTGTATTTCTTTTCTTTCTGTTTCTTAATGACAATTCTTCAAACACAAATTGCAAGCAAATTTCGTTTAAGTGAAAACAATTGAAAATTAAAAAAGAGTAGTAAAACAAATCAATTTGTAAAACAAATTAAACAGCGACTTTTTTCTTTAAAAAAAAAAACAAAACAAAATATGCTTTAGATGTGCGTGTGCTTGAATTGTTCTGTTTGTTGTTGTCTGTGTGTTGTTGTTGTTGTTGTTGTCGTTCTCAATGTGTGATATATGATTGTGAAATGCTGTCCGTTTTCTCTCTCTCTGGTTCTCTGCTTATAATACTGGACGTGCTAACCGTCTGCGTGAGCGCTGCTGTACCGCCGGCGGCGCCAAATGAACTGAATATTGTCGCTCACGACGTTCACGTTCGCGTTCGCGTTCACGTTCGCGCTTCACACGCTCCTCCTCCTGGCGCGCCTTGAGCTCGGCGAGATTACGTATGCGACTGGAGTTGCGCACTTGCAGTAATCTGTGTAATGAATACAAACATTGAATTATTAGATGGCGTATATAATTGCATATATATATGTCTTAAATAAGAGAGCTGTCAAATCTGCCTTATATCCAAACATGATATCGCATAGCTTCGTTCCCTTATATGGAAATATTAATATGAATAGCAGCAATATAGTTAAACTGAGATACAGATTCCTTTACTCAACAATTTAAGCGCACAAGCCCTTCTTACGAACATTCTGTTCTTGAACTATTGTTCCTGTGTTAACCATAAGATATTGTGGTAGGATCTAGCCTGTCATGTCGCTTCTTTCATTGAAGACTGTAGCAACATCTTGCAGATAAAAGAAATTATTATCTTACCACGTCTCAAGTCTATATTCAATTTTTGTACAATATGAAGCTTGATATAAAAAACAGTTCTGTACTAACACAAAAACTAAGTAACTAAGTAAGAACATCTTTGATGTCGGAGAGGTCTTCTACAATGTGTTACTTGAGGCGCAACAAAACTTTAACCTATTGCTTAGAAGTATTCGAATTTTTTTGGATTTCCCAATTGGACATTAACCACCTAACTGAATACATCAAAGCTATTTAGTTTCTTTACATAAAGAACTTGATCTTAAGGCGTTAACTTTTAAATAAAGTCATGATGTACATGGCCAACTGTTAGTTGCAGCTATAATCACTTACTTTCTGCGTCTCAGACGTTCACGTTCGCGAAACAGCTGCGGCAGCTTGGGCAGAAAGTTCTCATCCAGTATTTGGAAGAGTTCACGCTCTTTACCATTCGTTGAGGTCTTGAATTTGGCTGCCAAATTCTGCCAATCCTCCTCGGTGAAGCAAATGACCTGCCAGACGGTACTGTTGCCGCCTAGGATCGTGTTGCCACCAGAGCCGGCGCCACTACTGGAGAGCGCAGCAGCAGCAGCAGCAGCTGACTTGCCCGAACCGGTAGCAGTGGCCGTTGTTGTCGCCTTATCCTCGCGATAGAGTCGCGTACCGTAGAAATACCAATATCCTGAATTTTTGGCGTCGTAGCCGAGCGGCTCAACGCGCAAACTGTCCGCCTCTAGGTTGCTTAGTATGACCTGCACATCGACAGAGTCCAGGCGAAAATGGCACAGATCGTGCAGAATTTGTAGACGCTTGCGCACCGGCAGCGATTGAAAGTCAATGTCCGTATCAAAGTGATTCTCTGTCTGATGCAGGCGACACTGTTGGCGCAGGAAACGGCGCAAAAACATCTGATAATTGCTGTGTGTTATCTCATTGGCTACCGACTGTAGCGCATCGCAGCCGGTCAGCAGGCGTACAATTAATTCGGGCACTAAGGCAACTTGATCCTCATCGCTGGTACCATCGGAGAGCAGCGCCGATTCGAGATCCTGCAAAACACAGACACAGACTGCATATAATACAAATCCATGGAACGTGTTTTTAAAGAACAGACCTCTATATCAATGTCGGGCAAATCGAAGGCGGAACTAAACAATGAACAGAAATGCGAAATACACGGTATCTCCCACCATGATTGTATGTCTGAAGAAGAAGATCTGAATTATTACTAAATTCGTTATGTTGGACAAGCGCTTACCCAATAGGCCAATGAAAGTAGAAACCATTTATGTATGCTTTGTGTATTAGAAAGTTGGCTCTCTGCAAGAATAAATTAAAACAATTCCTGGGCGTGTTGCTTGTTGCCTTCTGGTCGTTCCCAGTTGTTGCTTGTTTACATTCGCTTGACAAACTCTGTGCAAAAGGGCGTAAATACAGAAATTAGTCTAAAATAGTCTAAAATGGTTAATCAGATCCAATTGATGCTGAGATGTCGAATATAATATGTGCTCTATGTGTTTGGTAAACTAGACCCTTGCAAGGGTATAAGAACAACAACAAAACTCATGTACGCTATCTCATTGGCGGCAAAAATGTAAACGTGTGTGCAACATGTGTGCGTATGTGTGTGAGTGTTTGTGTGTGTGTGTGTGTGTTGTTATTGTCGAATTGTTTGAGATACACAAACAAACACGAGCTTATCAATTATCAAAAGCGCGCGCGAAGTAAATTGCGATACACGCACACGCACACATACAATTACAGAGCACACCCACACTGTTGCCTTTGGCGAGAGTAAGAAAGTACACGCGCACCCCTTTCGCGCGCTTAATTTTACGAAGAGAAAATCAAAACAGATGGCCAATAAACTAGCCCACAAACAAACGCGTTGCCTCCCGCATGGGCGGGAGTGGGACGGCTATAGGCAGCCAGTGTTGCGTAGCGCTAGTTGTGCTATTCACTTTTTTCCACAGCACTGTTGATTTCTTGGCTGGTCGATGATTTCGTACCCCCGCCACCGCTGCGCCGTTATTTGGCCTGATGTCTGCACTTTTTCTTCTTTTTATAATTAATATGCCATTTCTACGAACACACACGCACACACAGACAGCACATTTGATAAATGTTTCAACAAATTAGGCGCGATTTTGGCGTATCTGATGCCACAGCAGCGCCCTTCGAGCATGCGCCGCCTGCGACAGTGTCTTGTTGCGATGCTCCGTTGCTGCCTCTGGCTGTGTGTATATATTTTTTCATTTGCGCTTTCCTTTTGCCGTAACAGTGAAGCACGCAATTGGTTGATGACAACTGCTTTGAAATTAATATTCAGTTACATTTTTCAGCAGTTGTATACACTGAAGGGGCTTAACTGCTGGGCGCTAACGTTTCGGTTTTAACTTAATTTTCCTTCTTTTCCACATATAAATATAATTAATGGACGAATCAACCTTACCGAACGCCAGAATTTAAGCAATGCGGCTCAAACTGTGAACAATGTTACAATAGACGAGCCAATATTGCCCAAACTGTGGCACTGTTATGCTCTCCGTAGGTCTGTTATATGGTATCGATATTAGTGATGTGCTTTCGTATCGACATATCGTTTCGAACGTGATATTTTATTTTAATTTTTATAATATAAAAAATTTAATGAAAAACTTTCTTACAGTGGTTAATTTTGAACTAGTTTTCTTTGGCTTGCATAATTAATTCGTTTTCAATTAAGTCTACTATTATATGCAAACGGCCTGCATTCACTGTTGTTAGCTGGAGGAGTTTGCTGTTTAATAAATTTGAATTCTTTTTCTATGCGAGCATGACTAACTTCTTTCAATTTTCGCAAGATGTCGCCACAATATTCATAATACCATCTAGCTCTTGTGCTGCAAATAACATGCAACACTGTGCAACGAATAACAACAACAAGTAACTTTTCGTTAAAAGTGCAACAAATAGTGTTAGTTAACATACTCCATTAACAGCCTGGTCCGGTTCAAGATGGGGTATATTAAATTGACGTTTCTCTTTGCTTTCTTAAAATGCAAGGTCGGATTTGTTGTGCTTTGTTTGAAAGTTTGTTTTTGTCAACTGTAAATTTAGACTCAAATATAAATATATTTTCAAAATTTAAATATATGGACCAAAGAAATTGTTAATTTTTTTTGTTTTTTTTTTTTTCGATTTTTCGCTTTCATTTTTTTTTTCTCGATTGCAAATCGACATCAAAGTTGCAACTTGGTCAATTATCGATAATTCATTTAGTACACAAGTTGCGGGCAATTTATACTCGATTCGTTGTGTTTGAAATTGAGCTGAAAACGCACAGCAACGTAAAAAAAAGAAAATAGAAAATGCCTGCACGTGTAAATGCGGTCTTTTATGGGCTCCTTGCCCGCCTGCTGTCCATAATCGGTTGTACTTGCTGTTATATATGTTTTTGATTTTGTTTTTGTTTTTGTTTGTTCTCATTGAGCTTACGAACTGTTCTTGCGCAAGGCAAACATACGCTGCTGCTGCTGCTGCTGCTGCTGTCGACGCAGACGCTGTTGTTGTTGTTGTTCCTGCTGCTGCTGTTGAGCACTTTTTAAGTGTACATTTTTGGGCAATTTAGTCGGTTTTGCTGCCGTCTGCTGTTGTTGTTGTTGTTGTTGTTGCTGCTGCTGTTGTTGTTGTTGTTGTTGCTGCTGCTGTTTTTTGTTGTCCTTACGCAACACTACGCCCGAATGCTCCATGCTGGGCCCCTTCTGACGCTGATCTGCGGTCAGCAAAAATCCCGTTAGCTTGCCATCCCATATTATCAGCCGGATGGGCACCACGGACAGCAGCTGCAGCTTATATGGTGTCTGCTTCATGTTGCGCTCGGCGACCAGTATAAAATTGGGTGCATTGTGCGTATCGATGAGAACACGTTGCATCTTATAGTTAATGGCAATGACATGACCCGACTCCAGGGTAACCACGTTCATCATGTGCTGGAAGATCTCCATGACAACGGCACGCATATAAATCACCTGGCGATTGCTCACATAGCGCTTGAAGAACAAATTGCTGGAATCATCGCCCGCCTGTTTGGCATTATATTTACGCTCATTGGCCACTTTGGTCAGATGATGCAGCTCATCCGGAGTGCGCTCCGGTGCGGCGCAGTAGTTCAAGCCGGCGGCGAGCAGACTGCAAAAGAAGGCAGCCAAGTGTGAGTCAGAAGAATTATATATATATTGAAGTAGTTCATACCGATGCACCATAACATCCGGATAACGTCGTATGGGACTGGTGAAGTGCGTATAGATGGGTATGGATAGGGCGTAATGCCAGAGATCAGACGGTTCTGTCTTGCCATCGCTGCAGAAGTAGCTGTAAGCGAAGAGAGAGAGTGTAAGATATATATAATTAACAAGTGGGTGTGCACAGCCAGCAGATACCCTGTACCCCTGAGAACTGTCAAGATTTGATTTACAATATTCAGGCGTATAGAACTTTTGATATTTGTATGAATATTCCTTAAGTTAAGGCTATATGAAAAAGGCTCAGACATACTGTCCCTTGAGACCATACCAGCCTCTCTTTTGAGCAATTTTCAGATAGTACAGGGTATAACATATGCCATTTGGCTAGGCTTTTGGGTGTACATACGTGGCTCGCGCCATGGGCTTCATCAGCAGCTGACTTAGGCAGGCGGACATGGCGATGGGATCGGCGGCTTCGCTGCACAACCGTTGCATGCTGGCCTGCAGAGCCTTCGAGGAGCTGTAGTCCAGATCGAAGCCCTGGGAGAGCAGCTTCTCGCGTAACGATTTGAGTGATTTGGTCAGCGGCGGCGGATGATTGCGTAGCACCGCAATTTTTGGATAGGCATCGTGTATGAATTTTGCCACCGCTTGATTGGCCAGCAGCATGAACTCCTCAATCATGTGATTCGCCTCGCGTTGTTTCTCCACCTCAAAGCCCATCGGTTCGCCGGTCAGCGGATCGAGGCTGAAGCGCACCTTGGCATTGTTGATGGTCAGGGCGCCATTGTCGAAACGTTTGCCGCGCATGTTGCACGCAATACCGTGCAGCCAGGTGACACGCTTGACGATATCGTTGACCGTGAAGCCGTTCAGGATGTTGGGAAAGTCGACGTCGGTGAAATGCTCGCGGGGATTGTCAATTATCTTCTGGGCATGCTCGTAGGCAAACTGTGTGCACGAGTTCATGATGGAGCGCGTAAACTGGGGCTTGTCCAGCTGATTGCCATCGCCATCCATGCGCCAGAAAACGGAAAACGAGAACTTATCCTCGCCGGGCAGCAGCGAGCACCGGAAGCAGAGCGTCTGCGGCAGCATGTGAATCACTTCGTTGGCCAAATAAATTGATGTCGAGCGCTCCTTGACAATGTTGTCCAGCTCGCTGTTCTCCTGCAAATAGTGTGAGACATCCGAGATGTGCACTCCGACCTCAAACACATTCTCGCCCAGCTGCTCAATGGAGAGCGCATCGTCCAGATCGCGCGCCGTCAACGGATCAATCGTGAAGACACAGCTCTTGCGCATATCCCGACGATTCACCAAATCTTGGGGAGTTACAGGCGGCGCAGATTGTGCGTACATCTCGTTGAAGCGCTCCTCGAAGGGCACCACATCTCGCAGACTATTATGGAAGAGTATGGCCTTCAGTTCATCGTCCAGATTGCCCACACGGCCAACAGGCTGCACCAGCTCCGCAATGCAATGGCCATTGCAATCCGTTTCCAGAATGTGCGCCAGATAGAGCAGGCCGCACACCTCGTCCGGCTGCTTGTTGCCGATATGTGCCGCGCAGCTGGCCTGCGGTATGTACACCATGGGCATGCGTAAATCGAATGGTCGAAATTTGTAAAACAGCTCCTCGTCGCAGAGCTTGGTGGGATTCGTAAATGATATGTTGCCCACAATTTGTCGCAGTTCCGTTTGCTTCACAATGGCAATGACAAACGCTTTGGGGCAGTTGTCCGAGGCTATTACGGCCACATTGTCATCATCCGAGTCCTGCGATTCTGTCTCCTCCGAGAGCTCCTCATCCTCACCTGCAACGGGGATAGTATTAGCAGCTGACGGATCGGTTGACTGATTGAATGACTGACTGACTTACTGCCCGATTGATTGACTGACTAGCAAGTGATGATTGAGTGAAAGACTCACTGATTGACCGACTGTTTAACTGATTGAATGACTAGATAGCATATTAATTGACTGACTGATAACTGATGATTGACCGACTGATGGTCTGACTGACAGTGATAGATTACTGCTTGATTGATGGATTGGCTAACTGATTGAATGACTGATTGACTGCCTGGATGATTTATTGATTGACTGACTGATGGTTTGAGGATTGACTGCTTGATTGACTCATGACCGATTGTCTGACTGGTTGACTGACGACTGGTCGAATGATTAGACGGCTTATTGATTGACTGATTGATTGGATGGCTTATTGATTGACTAACTCCTGATAAGAATGAAATATAGGAATTTAGATCTGATTGACCAACTGATTGAATGATTGACTGGCTGAATGACAGGGCTGTTTGTTAAGACCTTCCCAAAATTTTATATCAGACGCGATTTACGCTCTCGATTTTCAGAGATTGGGATAAAAACAGATTGTAAATTGAATGAGAGACACATTGGCTGGGCAAAGCCGATTAACCTTGACTTACCCAGAGACAGTGAGGCCTTGCCACCAATAATGCCGCCGGCTGCGGAATCCATAGTCTTGGTAACGACGGCGCCCACATTCAAGACAAAGGCGCGCACGGTGTCGCCCTCGAAGGCATAACGTCGTGCCACTGGCAACAGAACGATGCCATCGCGCTCCAGTGCCTCGCGATCCGTGGACATGGTGATAAACGCCTGGCGATTGTTCTTGCGATTCACGCGTATCTCCTCCTCGACAATGCGTCCATAGCCAGCCTGCACGAGGCGCCTGGCGTGCGACTCCAAGTCCCCGAAATCGCCCTTGAAGTTCAGCTCCGCCGGCAGCAGTTGCTCGGCGCCCACATGCTGCTGTACGATCTTGTTGATATATTGACGCATTGCCTCCAGCTCGGTCTTCAGGGAACGGGGCGTGTTCTTGTCGTTGCGCTTCTTGCGGTTGCGATTGCGCTTGCGCGGCGATTGGCCGCCAGAGTTCTCCTGCTGCTGCTGCTGCTGCAGAGTGGTTGCTGCGGCTGCACTGCTGCTGCTGGTGCTCGTGCTGGACAGATCCGAGTCGCGGCGAGTGCGCAAAATCTCGCCAAGGCGCTTTTGCGTCATGGCCTGGCCCTGGGCCGGCGGCTGTGGCTGGGCTTGTCTGGGTGCGCGCATTATGCCGGAGAGTGTAGACGACGGCAGCTGCTGCTGCTGCTGCTGCTGCTGCGGGTGACCCGTCGGATCCATGCCGCCATCAATGCGGCCGTGCTGCGTCAGCGGCGGCATGCCGGGCGCGCTGGCAAGCGCTCGCAGTGCAGGATTCATGTAAGGTCTTGGCGGCCTGCAGACATTCGACAGATTCAGCCATTCCAACTGGCCGAGCACCTCGCTCTGCTTGATGAGCTGCTGGGCATAGGCTCGCACATCCGGGTTGACAGTTATAAGCTTATAGACCAGATCCTTCAGGGCATCCACCTCGCCATTAAGGGCTTGCCGTGACTTGCGTTTCTTCTTCAGCTCCTGCTGCTGCGGCGGCTGCTGTTGTTGTTGTTGTTGTTGCAACTGCTGTTGCTGCAGATGCTGCTGCTGTTGCAGCTGCTGTTGCTGCAGATGCTGCTGCTGCTGCAGATGCTGCTGTTGCTGCTGCTGCTGCAGATGCGGCTGCTGTTGAGGCTGCGCCGCGGCAGCTGTTGTCGCATTCAGCTGGGCGGCAAACTGCAACTGCATGTGAACCGGCATAAAAGATTGCATGGGATATGGATAGGATGCCATCGGCATCGGCATGGATAAAGCTGCGGCAGGCAAATGCTGCTGCTGCTGATGTTGTTGCTGCTGCTGCTGCTGCTGCTGTTGCAGCTGACGATGTTGGACAGTGGCGCTGACTGTGGCAGTGGCGGTGGCAGATGCTGTGGCAGCAGCATTTAGCACTGGCATTGAACGCTGCTGCGGCAGCGACTGCAACTGCAACTGCGACTGCGAGACATAGTTGCGCATAAATTGATTGGCCTTCTGCTCGATGATGGGATAGTCCGTAGTTGTTGGCAATTTGGCAGACATCTCCATTTGCGTTTGCTGCAGGCGCGTCGCCAGACGCTGCGAGCGCTGGCGCAATAGCTCAATGGCATTGGGATAATCCGTTTCAGTATCATGTGGCATTTTGCGTATCGATGGTTGCAGCGGTGGACCCGTTACAGCACTTTCTAAGCTCCCTACGCTCGACGTTTTTGACATGTTTAAAACAGTTATTGTTGCTGCACCAAAACGGTTTTGTTAAAAAATACTTGTTTTTGTTTATCTTGCAGCGTATTTCACATGCTATGACAACAAACACATTCGATTGAGTAAAGTGGCCCGCCCCCCGCATAGGGTGGCGCACGTGCTTTGCTCACTTTGCACAAAACGTCACAAATTTACTACGATATGGAAATAAGCTGCTAAGCGAACAATAACTGACAGTAAATTCCAAATGAGTGTTAATTGAGGTTTAACATGGGTGGTAACAAGCATAAAACATTACTGATATTCTGATAAATGTAAATGCTGCATACTTTATTGTTGTTTAACATTAACAATAAGCACAACAAATTTAATTGCATTTATGACGTCACGAAGTAACTCTCAGTTTGGGCTTTTGGTGTGCGAAAACCGACAATCGCACTAAATATTGCGATATTTATCGAATAACTCAACAAATGCGCTGGACCTATCGATATGCATCATCGCAAGGCAATCATGTGTCAGTAGTGTTGTAAAACCTTCGCGCCATTTTTCTCGTATCTTTCATCTCTTGCATTTTCTGTAGAAATTTGTTAATTTCTTTGTTTTCGAAATGGTTTTTTAATCTTTAACGAACGGAGAAATAAACAAACAGTGGTAAAGCGTGGTAAAATGCTAGCGTGAGCGCGTGCTCTTGTTTTGTGTGTGCTGCATATGTAGTATGTGTGTGCGTGTGCAAGTATAAGAAAAGTCCAACCAAGGTACACAATTTATTGTTTATTTATGTATGTAGCTTGCTTCGCTCAGTTTGTTGCAATCTTATAAGTTTGGCTTTGTATTTAAATTGCTTGCTAATTGTACACGAACACGCACAGAGTACCATCTACACACACACACACACACACACACACACACACACCACACACTGACACACATACAGACTTTAAACTATGTACGAATGTAAAAAAAAAGAGAAGCGCCACAAAAATGACTGATGTAAATTGTTTTACAAGTGAGCTTACAACAACAACAACAACAACAACAACAGCAGCAATAGCAACTTTAACCACGCCCACAAAAAATGTACTGGACCAATCGCCCACATCGCCGTTTATACTAAGAGCACCGCCCAGCGCCAAATCCAAATTAATTTTACAGAACATGGAGGAAGTGCTAAATACGGTGAAGCAAAAGCATCGCGAGAAGCACAAGCGAAAGCGCGAGGAGAAACGACGCGCCGCAATGCTGGCGGAAGCGGATACGGAACAAACAACAACAGCAACAACAACAACAACAACCAACGGCCGCCACGTGCTGCGCGAGAAAACGTCGCGGGAGAATGGCATTGGCCACCCCAAGCGCAAATCCCATGCAAGTCCCCTAAAGAGCAGCACTCCCCACGGCACGGAGCAACAGTCGTCCATTATGAAGCACTTTGCCAAGGCTGCAGCGCCCGCAAAATCTGCTACCAATGTGTTTGAGCTAATGATGAATGCGCGCAATCGTTCCCTGGGCACCAATGCCAATGGCCAGGCAGCAGTGGAGCCAGCCGAGGCGGAGGCCACAACCTCGCCGCCCCAGAGCAAACGCAGGCAGCTGCTGCAGGAGTGGAACGAACGCAAGGGCGGCGCCAAGCGTCGCCTGGCCGAGGAGGCACGTGAAGAGTACATCGAGCAGCAAATGGAGCAGCGCGCCAAGCGGTAAACCGTCCCAAGACTTTAGCTTGAATCTATTGTTGAACCCTTCTCACTTGCAGTTTGAAGAAAATGCTGACGCAACCGGCGGCGCCGAGTGGGCCGAAGGAGTCGAGTGGCCAGGAGGCGCAGCCAGTCAAACGTTTGCGAGGACGTCCACGCACGCGGCGACCCAGCGCGGATGTGGATGCGCAGCTGCCGGTTAGTCCTCCCAGCGTCGAAACGGAGACTGTGCAGTTGCTGGCCAAGCTCTGCTCGCCCGTCAAGAAGCGCGACAGTCTGCTGGGCTATTTTGCCAAGCTGGGGTCGCCACAAAATGCGGCAGAAGCCGCAAAGCAGGATGTGGAAACACTGGAGACGCCCAAGCGGCGGCCGCGTGCCAAGAAATCCATGTCCAATACGCCAGCAAGCGTAGCCGAAACGACTTCAACAACACCTTCGGGTCGACCGCGACGCTCGTGTGCGACAAAAGCGCGCTACGACTATGACCTAGAGCCGAGTCCCACCAAGGCGAAGCAAACGCCGGCGCCTGCAGCTGATGACTCCATAGAGATCATTGAATTGGACACGAGCAATCCGGCGGCAACGCCCAAGAAGCTGGCGCCTCTGTTCGTGCGGCAACTGCCCAAGCCCAGTCCAGATCCGACAGTGTTGCGTGCACGCCAGGAATTCCTGCACTCCGGCGTGCCGGAGAAGCTCAGGCAGGAACAGCAGCGCCAGCGTTGCTTTGACCAATATTACGAGGAGAGTTACGAGCTCTTTCCGCGCATAGCACACGTGGGCGGCACGCGTCTGGAGGCAAGCCTCAGCGCGTCCCTGCAGCTGCGTCAGGAGGAGGAGGCGCAGCAGCAGCCGGCAATAGTGCGTAAAACCAGTACGGGCAGCATAACTGGCTGCACTGCAGCGGACTTTGTGCCGAGCAAGAGGAAGAAGAGCGTGTCCAGTTGGACGCCGCTGCCGCAGCTGGACAATAAGCGCACGCTGGTCAAGAACTGGAAGAGCACCTTCGAACGTTTTCCCACCTTCAAGTGCTACAATCAAATGCGCGAAAAGTACAGACATTTCAGCGCCATAGACGCGGCGCAGGACACACAGCCGATGGGTGAATCATTTGTGGTGACACGGCGCACACGACGCTCGCTCGAACAGCAGCAGGAGCAGCAGCGCGAGCAGGCCGAGGAGCACTTCCGGCCACCGGCATTGGCGCCGAACGGCGAGCTGCTCTTCACGGAGAAGTACAAGCCGCTGCTGTTCGAGCAGGTGCTGGTCAATCTGACGCCCGTGCAAGAGCTGCGCGACTTTCTGGCCAATTGGCATGGTGCTGGCGCTGGCCAGCGCAACTCGCAAACGCTCGACGACAACTCCTCCATGGACTTTGGCAACGATTCCAGCTCAATGGGCGCCAGCTGCAATACTATGGTGTTGCTGGGTCCCTGTTCCAGCGGCAAAACCAATGCCGTCTTCGCCCTGGCCAACGACATGAACTTCAATGTGCTGGAGATAAATGCGGGCATGCGACGGACGGGCAAAAAGCTGATACAGGAGCTGCAGGAGGCCACGCAGTCGCATCAGATACGCAAGGAGGCCAAGGCGGGCGGACAGCTGCTCCAAAAGCTGCAAATGAACGGCCTGAAAGCGAAGCGCAGCCAGGGTGACGAAGATGTGCGCAAATCTCTCATCTTGATCGAGGATGCGGACATTGTTTTCGATAATATCGATGCAGGCTTTACGGACGCCATCTACACGCTCGCCGCCAGCTCCAAGCGACCCGTCATCATAGTCGCCACCGATCCCAACTGTGCCCATTTGCAGCGTCTAATGCAACAGAATACGATTAAGTTTCAGGCGCCGAATGCGCTAAATATCTCACGTTTTCTGGCCGTGCTGTCGCTCATGGAGAACTGTCCCATTGAGCTGGACGAACTGATATCCCTCTATCTGTACAATCATCAGAATCTGCGCAAGACCCTCATGGAGCTGCAGTTCTTCATACAGAGCGGCGGCGATGGACAGCGTAGCCGAGGCAGCTCGCAGCCGCCGCCCACCAGCAACTCGCCCAGCCGATCGCCGCGCCTGTCCACGCTGTCTGGCGTCCATATACATCAGCAGCTGTTCGAGTTCTATACGACGGCACAGAATGTGCGTCATTTTGTGCCGTTTCCCGTTGACTTTCGCCTGCTGCGCCTCAATCTGAACGAGCTGCTGCGCCATTCGACGCTGCTGCAGCACACGCAATCGCCGGGTGCGTCCGTGTCCAGGCGCAGCGCCAAACGCAAGTCGTGTTCACCAAAGAAGGCGTGGCTCAGCACAGCCACGCACAATAAGAGCGAACCGCTCCAAACGCTGGCCACCTTCTATGAGCATCTGTCGACGGCCTCACTGCTGGATGTCTCGGGTCTGGAGCGGAGCAATGATCGACTGCAGCCGCATCTGGCCGAGCAGCTGGCGCACACGTTAGTCGAGTGTGCGGTCAGCACGTGTCTGGCATCCAAAAACTATGCCTACAATCTGTTTGATAAGCCGACGCAGCGGTGAGTACCAAGCAAATACCTAATTACACTATGCTACACAGATGGGCTATAATTTTTTGCTGCGAATGTATGCAAAACTTAAAAAATATCAGTTCTAGACGTATCCAACTTGGTTTCTAGCTGCTCGCAAAGTATTTAACAATTAAAAATATTTCACTTTTATTGAAAACTACTGCCGTTCCCCGCCGAAATTGTTAAAAGAAAAATTCTTTAAGCTAGAACCTTGGGATTTGGTATATAACAACTTTTATATGCCTTCTTTTAGCCCTAAAATTTTGATAAAGATCGGACTATAAGCACCAAAGTTATCACGAGCGACTGCTGGGATAACGAGGAAGCAGCAAAGCTCATTTATTTAATTTTTTTTTAATTTGTTCCAAAAGTAAACAACATTTATGTTAACACCAAATTCCCATGCCCCTCTTCAACCACAATTCAAAAGTGAAAAGTGTTTGTGACATATTTTCTTATTATTTTCCGCTTTTGGAGGCCTCAAAAACAATGCAAGGTTGCAGTCGGAACGCTTTTCGAACGTTTTATTCAATTCAAATCTAATGCCTTTTCAGTCTTAATCTGATGGATCAATTGGGGAGCAGTTGTCGGAGCAGCTGTGCCCGCGTCCTGGACTATGAGCCGGCCATGCGTGCGATTTGTCGCAGCGAGAAGCAGCGCGCCGGATTGGAGCGCCGGTCGAGTCGTTTCTATCACTATTTGCGGAATCATGCGTCGAACAGTGTGACCAGCTTTTCGACAGAACTATATGAGGCCGCCTGCCAGGTGCTGCAGGAGGAGCCGAATGTGGAGCAGGAGCAGCCGCAGCCGCAGAGTACGTCCCAAGATGTAGTCGAATAATAGTGCAAATTCTATGTTGGAAGATTGGAGGTTGGAGTTCATTCGGTGATACGCCTCCCCCCCGCGACCGCCCTGCGCCCGCCCACACGATAAGTGGCAAATGGAAAATTTATTCATATTGCGTTACGCAACAAAACGTTGATCTTTTTCTTATTCTAGACGATATTAGTTAATGACTATATGCCGGGCGCCCGCTGCTCTTCAGTTCTAGACAACTACACAATAATTATACACTAAACGACCTGAGCTATGTTAATAAACAAAACAAAAACAACAATTATTTAGAAGGAAATGGAAACTGCGCTCAGCAGCAGCACAGGAAACCGCCCGATTTCTCCGCCTGCTGCGGCTGCGGCTGCTTTGTTTGACCCGGATCGGCGGATTTGCCGTTGGCCGTTTGCGGTTTGGGCTGCGCATCGATGGCAACTTCGCCGATTTTGTACTGTTTCAGCTGCTGGACTGCGTCCGGCGAGTGTCCGGCATTGTTGAACGCCTTGGTTGCATCCTTGCCGGCCACCTCCAGTATGAGCTCCGGGCCGCCGGGATGATCCTTAATAAATGTCGTCACATCGTACACGTTGCCCTTGTAGATCATCCAGACGGGCTGGCCGTTTTTGCCATTGCGTTCCGCAACCTCCGACTTCTGATAGATCTGTGACATGTTCGCTTCGATTTATGGATGCTTCGCGTGATTGGAGTACTATCTATTTTTTTTTTGTGTTTGGTTGTGATAAGCGTTTGTCTGTTTTTTTAATTGCCAAATGGGTTATTTATGTTCGATGATGACACAGTGCCAAAAAAGCCGGGTGTGAACTAGTCCTCGATGTGTGCTACTCCATGTACTTCGCTCAGACAAATGAGTATCGCTTAGTGTATTTATTATATTTATGTATTTATGAGCGTGAAGGGGCAAACGTTTATGGCGGGAGTCGCCCCGTGCGAATCGATAAGAAATACGTGAGTATTTCATTTCGGCCAAACCTAATACCAATTTTGCGTGTCACAACTTGAGCAATATCGAGTGCTTTATGAGTTGCCACAATTCATTAATTCGACTCTAAACAAACGGAAATAGTATAAAGCGAGCAAGTTTATCAGTCTTAGATCCCAGCGATCGCTCATATCTATCTATATATATATATATAGTATATATGCTTGGCAAATGCCGATCAGATTAGATGACGATGATGACTGGTTAAATTTTGCTACGCATTTGATAAGATTTAAACGAAAAAGATCAATGCCATATTCTTTTGTATTTTCGTCTATCTTATCTTGTGCTTAAAGTGCTTGAGAATTACAAGCAAGTCAGGCAACTGCTTGGCTACAATGTTGGATTAAACAAACATGTGTTTTATCAGTAAACATAGTTTAAACTGAGCGATCATTTATAAAGCAGTTATTACTTGAGAATTACAATAAAGGGATGCAATTATCTGTTAATTAGTTATTGTACTTGTAGCTTATTGATAGCATTAATAAATGTTATCACAGTATGTTTAAAATAGGCGATCGCAGAAATCTTGGATGGTTTATGTTCTTCCACTGCTTGCGCGCACAATGTGCGCCTTTAACTGCTTGTTATGAAGATTATTTGACTGCTTGCCCACTCTGTAGTTTTTCGGGTTAATTGTTGTTAGTGGCTACAGAATTATGAAACGTTTTATAGCTGAACGACTGCAGAAAACTTGGAGTTCTTCAATAGGTTGTTCACTCCTTGAATAGCTTTCATAGTCTAAATGTAGTCCTTATAATTGATTTTGAATAATATTTAAAAAGGAAACAATATTTATTAACAACAATCAAATTTTGGACTGTGGACTCTCGTTTTATGGCTTCCCTAGTTAGACTGCTTCTTATTACGGTCATCGCTGTCCAAACTGCTTGTGTATACCATTTTTATAGACTTAACTGCTTACTTTTGTGAAAACCGTTTTTCATGAGGCTTGGCTTTTTCTTCATAATTTTCCCTCTAAAAAAATCTGGCATTTAAATCTGAGAACAAAATTTTTGGTCGAATTTCATGTCAAAATCTTACCCTTAAGATTCGTATATAGACATGGGTCGAAATTTCCCATTCACATAACTCGGTCAAAACTCAACCGATTTTCATGAGGCTTAGCTTTTTCTTCATGGTTTTCCCCCTAGATTAATCGAGCATTTAAATCTGAGAACAAAAATTTTGGTCGAATTTCATGTCAAAATCTTAGCCTAGTTTTGGACATAATCCTAGTTTTGGACATAGACATGGGTCGAAATTTCCCACCCCCATAACTTGGTCAAAACTCAACCGATTTTCATGAGGCTTGGCTTTTTCTTCATGGTTTTCCTCCTAGATTAATCGGGCATTTAAATCTGAGAACAAAAATTTTGGTCGAATTTCATGTCAAAATCTTAGCCCTAGTTTTGGACATAGACATGGGTCGAAATTTCTCACCCCCATAACTTGGTCAAAACTCAACCGATTTTCATGAGGCTTAGCTTTTTCTTCATGGTTTTCCCCCTAGATTAATCGGGCATTTAAATCTGAGAACAAAAATTTTGGTCGAATTTCATGTCAAAATCTTAGCCTAGTCTTGGACATAGTCCTAGTTTTGGACATGGGTCGAAATTTCCCATTCACATAACTCGGGCAAAACTCAACCGATTTTCATGAGGCTTAGCTTTTTCTTCATGGTTTTCCCCCTAGATTAATCGGGCATTTAAATCTGAGAACAAAAATTTTGGTCGAATTTCATGTCAAAATCTTAGCCTAGTTTTGGACATAGTCCTAGTTTTGGACATGAACATGGGTCGAAATTTCTCACCCCCATAACTTGGTCAAAACTCAACCGATTTTCATGAGGCTTAGCTTTTTCTTCATGGTTTTCCCCCTAGATTAATCGGGCATTTAAATCTGAGAACAAAAATTTTGGTCGAATTTCATGTCAAAATCTTAGCCTAGTTTTGGACATAGTCCTAGTTTTGGACATAGACATGGGTCGAAATTTCCCACCCCCATAACTTGGTCAAAACTTAACCGATTTTCACGAGGCTTGGCTTTTTCTTCATGGTTTTCCCCCTAGATTAATCGGGCATTTAAATCTGAGAACAAAAATTTTGGTCGAATTTCATGTCAAAATCTTAGCCTAGTTTTGGACATAGTCCTAGTCTTGGACATAGACATGGGTCGAAATTTCCCATTCACATAACTCGGTCAAAACTCAACCGATTTCCACGAGGCTTAGCTTTTTCTTCATGGTTTTCCCCCTAGATTAATCGGGCATTTAAATCTGAGAACAAAAATTTTGGTCGAATTTCATGTCAAAATCTTAGCCTAGTTTTGGACATAGTCCTAGTTTTGGACATGGGTCGAAATTTCCCATTCACATAACTCGGGCAAAACTCAACCGATTTTCATGAGGCTTAGCTTTTTCTTCATGGTTTTCCCCCTAGATTAATCGGGCATTTAAATCTGAGAACAAAAATTTTGGTCGAATTTCATGTCAAAATCTTAGCATAGTTTTGGACATAGTCCTAGTTTTGGACATAGACATGGGTCGAAATTTCCCACCCCCATAACTTGGTCAAAACTCAACCGATTTTCATGAGGCTTGGCTTTTTCTTCATGGTTTTCCCCCTAGATTAATCGGACATTTAAATCTGAGAACAAAAATTTTGGTCGAATTTCATGTCAAAATCTTAGCCTAGTTTTGGACATAGTCCTAGTTTTGGACATAGACATGGGTCGAAATTTCCCATTCACATAACTCGGGCAAAACTCAACCGATTTTCATGAGGCTTAGCTTTTTCTTCATGGTTTTCCCCCTAGATTAATCGGGCATTTAAATCTGAGAACAAAAATTTTGGTCGAATTTCATGTCAAAATCTTAGCCTAGTCTTGGACATAGTCCTAGTTTTGGACATGGGTCGAAATTTCCCATTCACATAACTCGGGCAAAACTCAACCGATTTTCATGAGGCTTAGCTTTTTCTTCATGGTTTTCCCCCTAGATTAATCGGGCATTTAAATCTGAGAACAAAAATTTTGGTCGAATTTCATGTCAAAATCTTAGCCTAGTTTTGGACATAGTCCTAGTTTTGGACATAGACATGGGTCGAAATTTCTCATTCACATAACTCGGTCAAAACTCAACCGATTTTCATGAGGCTTAGCTTTTTCTTCATGGTTTTCCCCCTAGATTAATCGGGCATTTAAATCTGAGAACAAAAATTTTGGTCGAATTTCATGTCAAAATCTTAGCCTAGTTTTGGACATAGACATAGGTCGAAATTTCCCACCCCCATAACTTGGTCAAAACTCAACCGATTTTCATGAGGCTTAGCTTTTTCTTCATGGTTTTCCCCCTAGATTAATCGGGCATTTAAATCTGAGAACAAAAATTTTGGTCGAATTTCATGTCTAAATCTTAGCCTAGTTTTGGACATAGTCCTAGTTTTGGACATGGGTCGAAATTTCCCATTCACATAACTCGGGCAAAACTCAACCGATTTTCATGAGGCTTAGCTTTTTCTTCATGGTTTTCCCCCTAGATTAATCGGGCATTTAAATCTGAGAACAAAAATTTTGGTCGAATTTCATGTCAAAATCTTAGCCTAGTTTTGGACATAGACATGGGTCGAAATTTCCCACCCCCATAACTTGGTCAAAACTCAACCGATTTTCATGAGACTTGGCTTTTTCTTCATGGTTTTCCCCCTAGATTAATCGGGCATTTAAATCTGAGAACAAAAATTTTGGTCGAATTTCATGTCAAAATCTTAGCCTAGTTTTGGACATAGTCCTAGTTTTGGACATAGACATGGGTCGAAATTTCCCATTCACATAACTCGGGCAAAACTCAACCGATTTTCATGAGGCTTAGCTTTTTCTTCATGGTTTTCCCCCTAGATTAATCGGACATTTAAATCTGACCACACAATTTTTGGTCGAATTTCATGTCAAAATCTTAGCCTAGTTTTGGACATAGACATGGGTCGAAATTTCCCATTCACATAACTCGGGCAAAACTCAACAGATTTCCATGAAGCTTAGCTTTTTCTTCATGGTTTTCCCCCTAGATTAATCGGGCATTTAAATCTGAGAACAAAAATGTTGGTAGAATTTCATGTCAAAATCTTAGCCTAGTTTTGGACATAGTCCTAGTTTTGGACATAGACATAGGTCGAAATTTCCCACCCCCATAACTTGGTCAAAACTCAACCGATTTTCATGAGACTTGGCTTTTTCTTCATGGTTTTCCCCCTAGATTAATCGGGCATTTAAATCTGAGAACAAAAATTTTGGTCGAATTTCATGTCAAAATCTTAGCCCTAGTTTTGGACATAGTCCTAGTTTTGGACATAGACATGGGTCGAAATTTCCCATTCACATAACTCCGTCAAAACTCAACCGATTTCCACGAGGCTTGGCTTTTTCTTCATGGTTTTCCCCCTAGATTAATCGGACATTTAAATCTGAGAACAAAAATTTTGGTCGAATTTCATGTCAAAATCTTAGCCTAGTTTTGGACATAGACATGGGTCGAAATTTCCCATTCACATAACTCGGTCAAAACTCAACCGATTTTCATAAGGCTTGGCTTTTTCTTCATGGTTTTCCCCCTAGATTAATCGGACATTTAAATCTGACCACACAATTTTTGGTCGAATTTCATGTCAAAATCTTAGCCTAGTTCTGGACATAGACATGGGTCGAAATTTCCCATTCACATAACTCGGGCAAAACTCAACCGATTTTCATGAGGCTTAGCTTTTTCTTCATGGTTTTCCCCCTAGATAATTCGGGCATTTAAATCTGAGAACAAAAATTT